GGTTTTCCGCGATACCCTTCGTGACGATCAGTCACGTGATATACGTCGCGTCTCAACTTACCCCCTTACAATATATATGAGTTGATATGTGTGTCAATTAGTTAGATATAACAAATTGGATTTGTTATTATTGTTATTAACATTTACTTGTGTTGGGTTATTAGAATTATAGCTTCCTTGGCAAGTTTTTCAGCTATATTGTTATATTCAAGTTCAAATTCAAATAAAATTAACCTGTGCCATTAAATATTTACCTATGATTTATAAAAAAAATTTAATAACCCAAAATATATTTTATGTTTTAAATCGACATATTTTGCATACCAAGAAATAAATAATTAACATATATCTATATAAAAGAGCATACATATTTTAAAAAAGCCTCTTATTTAATTAAATACTATTTGATTGTTTCGTATTATGAATTATAAAATCATTCAATGGAGCATGTAAATTTACCCATTGTTTTTTATATTCAATTAAATGTATAAAATTTGAGAATATACGAATAGGCAATTATTATTATATTTAAACAATCTATATCGTAAATCCAATACTGTAGTATAATATCTTATAAACAATAATTATAAATTTATTTAAAATATATTCACAAGATATATTCATAAGATAGAAATTAATTTATGAAGTGAATTGTTAATACCGGCTTTAATAAGTCAATTGATTATTTCATATTTACATATTGTGACAAACGTAATTAAAATAACGTTATTTCATCTAGATTTATTATAACAAATAAATAACAATCTAATAATTTTAATATAATTAAATTTATAATTTTATGAAATAATATAAAAAAAAAATAAGACGATGGATGATTTCTAAAAAATTTATAGATAATAATTTGGTAAATACTGTACGTCAAAAAAAATTTTTTTTGTGATTTCGAACGTGATATACTCTATTTCAGATAATTTTATATAATTGATTGCTTAAAAAATACCAATAAATTTGTATAAAATATGGTTAATTTTTTTTTAAAATAAATTTGTAATATATTATGTTTTATTCTTATGATTTGACATAATTAATTCAAGTTTTTTTTCAAAAAAAAAAAAATCAATAAATACTTATAAATAATTATAAATACTTGCAAATGTAAATATATAAATACTGTATGTAGATTAGAATAAATAAATAAGATTATGTTATTTATTGTTTGAAAAAATGGAATTGAATTCATGATAGCTTTAAATAACTTTAATTGATCAATATCATTATAATCGATTTATAATATTGAAAAAATACAATTATTTTAATTATTTTGTATCAATTATAACAACAATTTATATTCCATATACGGTATTCGCACTTGCACTGTTATAATTTATACCAACCGGTTTTTTATTTTTTAATTTTAAACAATGTGGTACGTTATTGTTATTTTTCATAAATATTTAAATCGATTGAAATTGATTGAGCAATGGGATTTTTGTTTACTCATTGTTCAATGAGAATTTGTATTTTCAGATATGTGCTAGCCTTTTATGGAAATATTACACAATATAATGCAGCCATTATCCTTTAACAGGAAAGCAATAACATTTTACAATTTACCATACTCACATCAATCTCATGGGGATAAATCGAACCAACTCGGGAAATGATTAGCCGAAAGATCAAGAAATGTCGAGACGAGATAATTAAAACATCATCATCTCAAAAGATTGTGAAAAGTGAGCATAATAATCTCATCAATAATAGTGTGTAAGAGTCTGCCTAACCGTTAATATGTAATTACATTTTTGGAGACCGTCAAAAAGTTCCGTTATAAGATAACTGCACTATATAATTGGCAAAATTTTGTGTTTAAAAAAAAAGTTTTTTACTTCAACAAAGGATTTTATCTCTTTGAGGTACCACGGTCAAAAATTTCTTCATTGCATCCTATAAAGGCAATTTTTATCTATAAAGAGAATTGGCAAAATTTTGTGTTTAAAATAAAAAAAAAAAAAAAGTTTCGTGTTTCAACGAAGGATTTTATTTTATAATAAAATTTACGTGCGCCATACCAACACAATCATTTTATAATCAAACTTATAAATAGGAAGAATCGAATTCTAGAACAATATTTTTCGGACTTGAACTAAAACTCCGAGAATAATTTCGAAACAATCAGCTATTTTTAGTCCTATCTGTAGACCAGTCTACAGTGTAGAATTGTACACCGTGAAGAAGTATAAAATGCGGATGGCTCAATCCTCAATAATTAACAAGATCACGAACAATCTTGTTACTATATTATTGATTTTCTGAATATTTTTCAAGAACAATCAATTGCCATGAGACCTTTAATTTCCATCGTCTTATTCGCAGTATTGATTCTAAATGTTTTGTTTAAGCCCGCGTACTCGGCGGGTATACCAATCAAATATTCCAATGGGCCGATCATGTCCGGTCCTATTCCTTTGTACATAGTATATTACGGAAACCAATGGCATTCCTTCAATCAAAAGGTCATCGAATCCTTTCTTAACGGGGTTAGCGAAACTAGTTATTGGGACATAGCAAAGGAATACACCGGTTTTGTAGATGAAAGTCATACGGAGAAAGGCAAGGTTACCGGACCGGTAAAAGTTGCCAAGACTGTGACTATGAATGCCACCCTAGGAGTAAATTTAATCTATCAAAATTTGGTTACCATTATCAATAACCAAATTAACAATGGTCTATTTCCCGAAGATGATCAAGGAAGTAAGTTGGTTAAGATCATGCGTAAAACCAAGCCGCGTTAAGATTAAGCTTTTTACCTTATATTTTTTAGTTTACTACGTTTTGACATCAAAAGAAGTGGCATATGAAGATTCTGAACGAACCTTTTGTGGTTCCATGTGCGGATATCACTTTTATTTCCCCACCTCTGATGGTAAAAAAATATTAAAAGTATGTATTTGCAAAATCAAGGTCTTATAAAGACCCTGCTTCGCCAGCTCTCTCGTACTCATATTATTTCAGTATTCTTTTGTCGGTGCTCCAGACCATTGTCCAGCGGTTTGCGTTCGCCCACAAATCGATCCGAGTTTAAATTCAACAATAGTTAGAACCCCTAACGGAGACTCCCTTGATTCAATGATAAGCGTGATCTCACATGAATTGTTCGAAACAGTAACGGATCCATTGGTGAACTTTGATAGTGCTTGGTTCGATTCAGAAGGAAGTAAGTAAAAAAAATATACTGTAGCAGTAATCATAATATTGAAACGACAATAATCTTCCAAACCACTTATTTTAATATCAATCACAGATGAAAATGCAGATAAATGTATAGCATTTTATCAACCTCTTCAAAATGAATACGGTGCGTCCTACAATCTCAAGATCGGAAGTGATCTATTCCTTGTGCAGCAGATATGGAATCCTAGCACACAACGGTGTGAATTGTCAGCAGGGAAGCAACCTCCCCTATGAATTTTACGTAAAATCAATTATGTAAACGCAAATCACGACATAGGGTTGGTTCTGTGAAAAAGTTTTTTTTGCTTATCGCTGGTGAAAATTTTATTGAATTGTACCTTTTATGTTTTTACCACATTGCTTAATGTTAAAAAAGTTGCGTATTCGCATATTTTTTAAATAAATACATTATGACAATATTTAATAAAAATTTGCAAAAGAATTTTGTATACAATTGAAATGAAAAAGCACTTGAAGATAATATTGCAATAATCAGAAATAGTTATTAGATACAAAACCATTTGCTGTATTTTGTAATAAACTGTCAGGACGTGACGATAGAGATTTTAACCGGAGTATTGCGAAGCATCAACCTGTAATAATAATGATTGATTAATGACAAACAATAGCAAGACATAATATGAATCATTTCCCTTCAAGCCTTAAATGGTTTATAGATTTCGATCTTTTTATTTTACTCTCTAAAAGTTTACATCTAGGTGTCTAAAAAATGTATAAAAAGGATTTAAAAAATACGTAATAAAGACAGAGAGTTTAATCAAGTCAAGTCCGCCTCTTTTGAGTTTTAATTGTTAAACCAAAGTGATGGTTATGCGAATTCTGCTCCCGGTTAGCGACAGACTCACCGATAGCTTATCACAATATGCATATATATTGTGAATTCTGTTTACAATAAAATTTTTGTTGAATCGAGATAAATCTATGTCATTATATAAGATATAAGGTTTTTTCAAATAACAATGTACTTGTTTTTTGTCGAAATTTACCATATAAATTATTTGTTAAAAATATATTATGTACTCGATTTTTTTAATTTTATAAAGCCTTCTCAATTATTTAACGTGAAATAAGAAATTTCTTGTGATCTTTATTGAAAAGTAAATTTGATAATACAGTATTGGATTCAAAGATACGTACATCATATATGTATACAGTATATCAGTTTTCAATACAATAAATACAGTATATTTTTAAACCATAAAATAATTAGTACAAAAAGGGAAAACAGATTTTTTTATAATAATATATATGATCATGAGAATATTATTTGACTTTGATGTGTAGTTTTTATTTTATATTGTTTGTTTATTATTTGATTTGTCTTTGATATTAGTGTTAACATATTTTTATTATATTTTCTGTTATAAAAAATGTTGCGAAGAATTAAAATGTCCTATATTTCTTAAATAAGTAGGATTTATTAAATATTTTTAGAAATTTAGAAAGCGTTTTTTGTGTTTTTTAATAAAAAATATGATTTTTAAAAGTTTTGTAATTGGATATTATTTATGTAAATATTGAATTTTCATTCAACGAAAATTGTTTAATGGATCTATTTTTTGTAGAAATTTTTTGTAATAATTAAGAGTTTTTGAGTTAACTGTTATTCTCACTCAGATTTTATTAGTGTAAGAAGAAACAAAACGGGAATAGTGCTACGCTGCTACAACTAAATACAAG